AGACCAAATGAAAGCCCTTCTCCATGGTCTCTCTGAATTCCTTCCATGCCTGACTTTTGGCATTCACAACCACTGAAGCTGCAGCCCTTCTGGCCACCCTGTACCGGTGAGCTGCTTCAGGAGTTCTTTGGAGCAACAACAGTCACTATGCATTTGGGTTTGCCAGGTCTATCCACCATCATTTCCAACTCCCTGAACAATGATAAATCAATGTAGTATATATACTATAATCTTTGTGCGACTTAGTTCACTGTGGCGACCCCTGAAGAAGGGAGCAGCCGAAAGAAGAAAAGTGTACTTCATTCATATTTTAGTAAAAAAAAGAAGAAGAAGAAAAAAACAAACACCTTTGTGAATAACAGTTGGTGTTGAGTCTTGAAAGAGGATTAATGCAGCCTGTAGAGTTCTGGCTCAGGAACTTTGAATCCACCTATGATAAGTGTATAGTGCTCCTTCATAAATCCCTTTTCTTTTGAAGGACCAAAGCATCTGACTCAAGAGAAAACTGTTCTGTCTGGATCCAAAAGGTGGTTAAAGAAATAAGATTTGCTTTAAGTGTTTCAAGAGAAACTGTCTCATGACATCCAAATTTCCCCACCAATTATCGTTATGAGGCAAGATAAAAAAAAACTAAAAAAAAACTAGATGGAATCAGAAATACAAAAAACAAATTACATTTTCCGTGAAACCGTTAAGGCTTTTTTATTTGTCGTTCGCGCCACATGTGGTACATGTGGTGAAAGGAAGTTGTGTACACAGGGTCCCAGTTACATCCAACAAAAGTATATTGTAAAGATAAACAGTAGTAAGAGCTAAGATATGAACTGTAAAACTGAAACTGCACAACCTAAACTAGTTATTTAAATATTGAAACCCGTTCATGGTTACAGTTTCACACCAATGGCAGCTGACATTTTGATTGCAGAATGCCACTTCAGTACATATATAAAATAAATATTTACAGTACAAATATCTACCCTGGAATGCACTTTAGATGTATGAAATAACTTTTTATTACTTTGATATTTTACACACTTGATATTCACGATGGGAAATTGAACAAGAAAAACTTTAAGGCTGGGGGATAAAAAAAAAAAACGTCCTTTCTCATGCCAGTTGATGAAAGTAATTCATAAAAAAGCCTTCACTGAATTCACATTTTGTGTATTACACATCAAGAGACTGAAGTGTAGTACTACCTAATTTAAATACCTGAAAGTAAAATCATAAGGACACAGAACAAGTGTAAATCCCCTTTTGATGAGGAATCAAAACAGTATGAGGGGAGATTAAAGACAGATCTGGAGCTTAAGCTTTATTTAAATTGGCTATTCTCAACTTTTGGAGGGTTTTGTACTACATAAATTACATAAAGCTCAAATTAAAACAGGTGTGCAAGGAAATGGTTTAAGGAGAGACCTACTTGGAATGACCTTGTTCAATTGCCTAGAAAACAATCTACATAAATGTATATCCCCGTGGTTAGGAGCTAACTCAATGTATCAGCATCGAGGCTCTAATTGCAGGTTTTTGTAGTAATCGAGGATAATCTATTCACTGTTGTTCCGAGTTCAAAAACAGACTACTTACTTGTGAATCTTTTCTGTTTGAGTGGTACTCAGTTGGCGCTCTTAACAACTCAAATGCTTCAAAGCAAATCCTCATCAACTGCTTCTGAAACTTTAAGTATTGTTTAAACATTATATCTGAAACCAAAGAAAAATTATAATAAATATACTATTTTGCAGGATTTCTTATTTTCTTTCCAATTATTCAATTTGGTATGCAGAAAATAAAGGACTTTAGAGCAAAAAACTTTAAATCATTGTTTTATTTTGCTCAGCCTCACTTGATATATTTTAGGATTTGTAGTATATTGGGATTATTTACAGAAAAGATTGATTGTGTAATGACATTTGAGTTCATGGTAGAAGACTTGCACTAGAAGGAGCTTTGGACATCAGTCTCAGGTAAGGCAATCCAAACAAATCTGGCCCTAAAATCACAGCACACCTAATGAATGATGATGTAACCATTACTCATCTTGTTTTCAGTGAGAATACTGGCTCAAATTAGCCATAATTACAGAAATCTATACACTGCTTGAAGCTCCATGCTTTGCTGTGTTGCTGGCAATGTCTTTGCAATTGCCTAATTTTTCCATTTCATCTTTTTCCACCCCTTCACTCTCACTGCTGCACAATAATCACCGTCTGCCTCTGTGCTTGCTTTCAGAAAAGGTAATAAAACTTGCAAGGCTGTGTGCCTCAGTGGTACACAAAGATGTGCTCAAGGATTGATCGTGTGGGCTGATGAATAAACAGTTGTTACCTCCAAACACGTCTGTCCATCTCTCCTCCTCCCTCCCAGACAGTAACTACGCAGAGATTTAAAAGCCTACACAAAGACTGATTGAGCCCTGGTGAGTGCTTCTCTGCCAGATTTAAAAAATAATACTCTTTTGGGAAAATATCACAAGAAAGATCTCAAATGTAACAATGATTGTCTGTTTTCTCCCACACAAAAGGGAGGAGGAAAAAAGCTGACAGGCTGGCCTGCTTGCTGTCTTTACAGCAGAATGAGCGACTGCGCCCTGCTGTCATCCTAAGTCTGTTGCTGGTAGAGGGGCGATGACGGGCTCATCGGGACAGCCGCTGAGGTCGAATGTCACGAAATGTAAAAGGAGCATGACCAAAAAGTTGACAGCAACTTGGGCAACATCAGGAAACAAAACAGAAGACAACAAAGTGCACAGAGAAATCAAATAATAGGAGTCTACATTTCAGCTGAGGAATCGATTGTAAGGCTGTAAATAATATATAAAAAATTACTATGTTCACATACCACCCCAACATATAAACAAGCTGATATTTTAACAGGTATTAAAGTAAAATATCATTTTTGTGGTGTATTTTTCACATTTAAAGGCAAAAGCATCATTTGTGTTTATCCTGTTGGACAATTTTACTGGAAGGCATTCATCATCTAGATGAGCCAGCGAAGGTGGTTCAGGCATCTGGTTAGGATGCCTCCTGGATGCCACCCCGGTAAGGTGTTCTGGACACGTCCCACCAGGAGGAGACCCAGAGGAAGACCCAGGACACGCTGGAGGGACTACGTTTCTCAGCTGGCCTAGGAATGCCTTGGGATTCCACCAGAGGAGCTGGCCCAAGTGGCTGGGGAGAGAGAAGTCTGGGCCTCCCTACTTAGGCTGCTACCCCCGCGACCCGACCCCGGATAAGCCCAAGAAAATGGATGGATGGCATTCAATGATTTAAAGGTCTAGGAGCCCTTGAATAAATTCATGTAACCCACCATCTTTAATGCTTGTGTTTTAAATTAAAATAATCTTATGATGAGAGGGGATAGAGTTTACTAAAATCGGTCCACTGCTTAAAGAGATAAATCTGCTAAAAGACAAACAAGGTTGATGTCAATAGTCAAGACAAAAAATGTGGATCAGTGTGTAGCATGTGGAGTATGTGCTGGTGATGACACTTGGCCCCTGGTGCTCTTAAAGCTATAAATGTGTGTTCCAAATTATTCAGTAAATATTAAGGTATTTCACTGATGCTGACTATAAAGATGCACGATATTATCGGCATGGTATCGGTATCGGCTGATATTAGCGTTAAAGTTCAATATCGGCCATTCCATCAAAATAACTCACCGATATAAAAAGTGCTATTTTTGTATGACAACCCAGTGACAAGGATGGCTGCAGCTCCAGCACAACGTGATGACGTCACACGCGCCTACCTGATCGGACCACGGCAAAAAGAAAGAAGTCAAAATGTCAGCAGTGTGAAGTTTTTTTTCTTCTGTTGAGGATATTGGATTCCGAAGATTTCTGGACTACACTCAGCCTCGCTACACTGTTCCCAGTCGGAGATATTTTTCTGACGTAGCCTTATCGAGTTACAAGCCGTTATTTCCGACATCACTGAGAAGCTAATAACCGATAGCACTTGAATGAGTTTTACCACAGACATTTGTACGTTGTGTTAGCCCCGTTAGCATGATTAGTCTTACGGCACAATGGATAGACAAACACTTGGAATTTAAAAAGGCTGTCCTTCATGCACAGGAGTGCAGAGGATCCCACACTGCAGCTAGGAACATGGAACAAGCCTCCACAAGTGAGACAGCATCACAGGTGACTGATGCTAAGAAATAATATTTAACACTTTTCATTTAATATAAGTTAAAGTGCTATGCATATGGCTATTACTGAATATGTCACCAGTTCTTACAGCCGTTACACAACTTTTGTAGCAAATAAGCCTAAATTAGAGGGCTATGTTCCGACAAAGGAAAGTATATAAAAAATATCGGTATTGGTTATTGGCCAAGTAAGTTTTAACATATCGGCCAAAAATCCAATATTGTGCATCTCTAGCTGAGTACAAAATATTCTTTCTTCACATTCAACATGCACAGCATCAAACTTGGGAGACAACTTTTTGTTTTCTCATATTTTAAATTCAAAGGCAATCATTTTTCTAATTACCCAAAGGAGTTAATTGCCTTTTTCAAAACAGAATTGGTTTTCGGCAGGTATGTTTACTAGAAGGAAAGCTGGAATGAAAAGCGGTGCACCTGAATAATTTATTTTGCAGAGGATAATAAACATAATAAAAGAGAAAGTGAAGGACAATGCTCAAGCAGCAAAAAATAAAAATATTTGACATAAAACGGCAAAATGTGCACATCCCAGCAATAATGGAACTAGAAATTTACAATGTAGCTGAATTGTAGCAAAATCCATTAAACCTCAAGAAGGGAAAAGAAAATAACATCTAAGAGTTAAACTGAAGATTTTAATGTGAAAAAAATTCAAGTGACTTTTGATTCAAAGCACGTTCTGGATAGTGGCACACAGAGATGGTAATGTGCATGAGTGTGTGGCTTTCACTGAGCGTACACCCCCGGTGTGTAACAAAATGATAGATGCTATTGGATTCGTTAAGCAGAGCGTTTCCCTAGCAACAGTGCCTTACCCCTCTCCTCCGACTTTGGTGATCTTGAGGCGAAAGTCCACAGAGTTGAGGTTGGGAGGCTTCCACTTGAGGATATCATCACACCTCCCTGCCTTGTATCTCTGCATGAAGAAAAAGAAGATACAAATACACATTAAATACCATTCCATGCATGCCAAATGGAAACACTAGAGGGAAATAAATGGTGAGATATATTTTTAGGCACGAGTTAATGGAAGGGCCTCACATAAATTGTGCTTTATTATAAAACTCTTGTCAGTAACTAATGGATAACAAAAAAAATAAATGTGTCAATGACAGACATGGTAAACAGAGTAAAAATTATTCTTGGGATCACGAGAACCAAAGTATAAATATCAATACAAAATGATTCAACATGATTACAATTTCTTTTTCACAACTAGTGCACCAACTCACTGTATGACACAAACCAAACAACACACTTCCCACCGTTGCTTCGATTATTCATGTGGGCCTGACATTTCGAAGGACATGAATCAAGTGCATCGAAACATGAGGAATGTAAAGGCATGACGGACGGGTGGAGGTGGGAACAGATGACCAAATTCAGTCACTGGCAGGTTGCCAGGTAACAGTAATCTACTCCAAGAAAATGTGTGGAGAACGGACAGGATTCCTCTGGAGAACCTGCTCTGTCACTGTACATGAATAAATAAGGAGGTCCTGACTCCGCCCACACACCTCCAAAGACAGGACATAGGAAATTTAAATTATTGAGGCTAGAGGAAAAACACCATAAACATTCTCGTTTACAAATGTAGTCTGAGCTTTCAAAAATCGTTGGGTTTTCACTTTTGGCACATTCTCTTTTAATCACTTAGGTTGAGCCAAGAATTCCCAGAAGTTCTTCTTATATTCGTCATTTCTCTCACCTTTATTTTTGGATCTATTATAAAACTTTAGGAGAAGTTCCGAACACTTTACATGTGTTTTCTCTGTTTTTTAAACTAAAAACCTTGATTAATGAGCTATTCACACCTAAGATAACACAAATGTGTAGGTATTAAGTTAATCCTGCAATGACATTCAGGTGGTCTCTCCTAGGAGAAACCGATGACTTAGCTGAACACAGAAGGTTCAGAGGCCAACTGGGAACTTCAAGTTTTTAGACAGTTGGTCGTAGATGTTTGTACCTTGTTTATATCAGTTTTTAATAAGAAAAGTAAATGTACATTATAAAAATGCCAAGCCACGACAAACAAGCACCTTTTTGTAGCATATTCTCTGTATTATACCTGCACCGAGTAACACAACCATCAAGAACAAACAGTTCTCTCTCTGGCCCTCTAGCAGGATATACAGAAACTTAAAATCTATTACGCATAAGTTTTTTTATTTTAACCGTACAGTTCCCTTCATTACGGTTTTTGGAAACCAGTAATGTTAATGTAAGCACGTGTTTTAATATAGGGGTTATGAGCTATTATGCCAAGTTAGAAATGTGTCTTTTACCAATAATTCAGTAAAATTGGTAAGGCTTAGATGTCTCAGCTTTTCACCAGCCTTGAAAGCATCATTACCTGTGTGAATTTACAGCAGTAGGAAAGTCTCAAAAATCATATTCACTGGAAAGCTGATCTGTGTGCTCATGTTAACTGATTCATCCTCAGCAGGTGATTTGTGTACTTGTATGTGACAATATATATGCAAAGAATATTCCTATTTGTGCAAATTGAAATTTGTACATAAAAAAAAACAGTTTATGGATTCAAGGATTTTTTAAATTGTCATACCAGCTCACATTTGCATGTTTATGGTACGAAATTAGGTCTCAGGTCCCAGATCAAGAAGCCCAACAGTTAACAAATAAATAAATACAAATGAGTATAAATATATATAATACAGTGCCTTGTGAAAGTATTCGGTCCCCTTGAACTTTTCAACCTTTTGCCACATTTCAGGCTTCAAACATAAAGATATAAAATTCAAGTTTTTTGTGAGGATTCAACAACAAGTGGGACACAATTGTGAAGTGGAATGAAATTTATTGGATGTGTCAAACTTTTTTGACAAATAAAAAACTGAAAAATGGGACGTGCAATATTATTCGCCCCTTATGTTAATACTTTGTAGCGCCAACTTTTGCTGCAGTTCCAGCTGCAAGTCTCTTGGGGTATGTCTCTGCCAGTTTTGCACATGGAGACACTGAAATTCTGCCCATTCTTCCTGCAAAACAGCTCGAGCTCAGTGAGGTTGGATGGAGAGCGTTTGTGAACAGCAGTCTTCAGCTCTTTCCACAGATTCTCGATTGGATTCAGGTCTGGACTTTGACTTGGCCATTCCAACACCTGGATACGTTTATTTGTGAACCATTCCAATGTAGATTTGGCTTTATGTTTTGGATCATTGTCTTGTTGGAAGATAAATCTCCGCCCCAGTCTCAGGTCTCTTGCAGACTCAAACAGGTTTTCTTCCAGAATGGTCCTGTATTTGGCCCCATCCATCTTCCCATCAATTCTGACCATCTTCCCTGTCCCTGCTGACGAAAAGCAGGCCAAAACCATGATGCTGCCACCACCATGTTTGACAGTGGGGATGGTGTGTTCAGGGTGATGAGCTGTGTTGCTTTTACGCCAAACATATAATTTTGCATTGTGACCAAACAGTTGAATTTTGGTTTCATGTGACCAGAGCACCTTCTTCCACATGTTTGGTGTGTCTCCCAGGTGCTTGTGGCAAACTTTAAACAACACTTTTTATGGATATCTTTGAGAAATGGCTTTCTTCTTGCCACTCTTCCATAAAAGCCAGATTTGTGCAGTGTACGACTGATTGTTGTCCTATGGACAGACTCTCCCACCTCAGCTGTAGATCTCTGCAGTTCATCCAGAGTGATCATGGGCCTCTTGGCTGCATCTCTGATCAGTCTTCTCCTTGTTCAAGATGAAAGTTTAGAGGGACGGCCGGGTCTTGGTAGATTTGCAATGGTCAGATACTCTTTCCATTTCAATATGATTGCTTGCACAATGCTCCTTGGGATGTTTAAAACTTGGGAAATCTTTTTGTATCCAAATCCGGCTTTAAACTTCTCCACAACAGTACCTCGGACCTGTCTGGTGTGTTCCTTGGTCTTCATGATGCTCTCTGCGCTTTGAACAGAACCCTGAGACTATCACAGAGCAGGTGCATTTATACGGAGACTTGATTACACACAGGTGGATTCTATTTATCATCATCAGTCATTTGGGACAACATTGGATCATTCATAGATCCTCACTGAACTTCTGGAGTGAGTTTGCTGCACTGAAAGTAAAGGGTCCGAATAATATTGCACGCCCCACTTTTCAGTTTTTATTTGTAAAAAAAGTTTGACACATCCAATAAATTTCATTCCACTTCACGATTGTATCCCACTTGTTGTTGATTCTTCACAAAAAATTAAAATTTTATATATTTACGTTTGAAGCCTGAAATGTGGCAAAAGGTTGAAAAGTTCAAGGGGGCCGAATACTTTCGCAAGGCACTGTATATTGTTTAAAAAAAGTAAGATGAAGCTGAATTAAGTGCAGCTCGAGTTCAGCAGTCTGACAGATGCAGGGAAGAAACTGTTTCTGAGCCTGGTGGTCCTGCTCTGAATGCTCCTCAGCTGCCTGCTTGAGGGGAGGGGCTGGAACAGGCTGTGTGCAGGATGAATGGAGTCCTTCATGATGCGGAGCACCCATCCCCTGCATCGTGAAGTGTAGAGGTCCTAGGTGGTGGGGAGGCTAATCCGCACAATCTTCTGTGCAGCCTTAACTACCCTCTGCAGAGCCGTCCCCTCAGCAGCAGTGCAGCTGCCGTGCCACACGGTGATGCAAGTGCAGAGAACGCTCCCCACCACACAGTGATAGAAGCTTCTCAGGACAGAGCTCCCAAGTCCAGCTCTCCACAGCTTCCTATGCATTCCTATGCATTGTGAATCTTGTTTGCACATGTAAAACTTGTGGTAAGCTTGTGGATCTTATTGCACGCATACAAATCTCATTGTTCACTTGTGCGACTACTTTTGAGACTGATTTATCTTCATATTTTTTATTCTGGTTGGTTCATCTGGTGACACACGAGCATAAATCATGAATGATTCTGAAGATACATTCATATGTATTCAGGCATGTTCCCAACCCTGCATACTGAAATATGTACAGCTCCATTTAAACCAAAATGATATTTGTTGTAAATGAAGCCAGAGGAACCATGGCAACAACACTATGAAAGCCCAATCAGGCTGCAGGTAGAATAAACGTACAACCTTCAAATACATTTCTAAATGAAAATGTGCCGCCTGATGCACTTGTGCTTTCATGACTATTGTCGGTCTAGTCAATAAGTGAGTGCGCAGGAAGAAAAAAAAAAAGCTTTATTACTGAAGTGCAAAAGAGTGTGTCAGCCCCGACCTTGCCGTCAGGAACATATCTCTCATGTATCAAATTCATTTTCATGTAATGATGAGCCATTTCATAGAAATTACCTGCTGTTTTCACGTTAGAAATTCAGAGGTAGTAGCTGTCAGAGTGAAAAACCAATAAATCAACACAGTGCCAAGGCAAATGTGTGTTTCAGTAATGTATGGTGTTTTAAAAGGAGAAAAACAAACATACTAGTTTAAAACTGATAGCCACATGACCAATAAAACTCTTTCAAGCAAAATAAAATAAAAAAATCTAGACATTATTAAGCAACACAAGTTTAATGGCTATACTTTGCTTCTTGACAAAAACACTACAAACTTGATTTCAATGAGGCAGCTAAAGCCATCTGATTTTGGGTTGCAGTTGTTGACTGAATCCCAGAAACGTAACATTATTTATTAATGTGCTTTTAGTTTTATTTAATGGAACAGGTGTCAGAATCCAAATACTTCATTCATCCCAGACAGAAATCAAGTTTGTTGCAGTAGCTCCAGCGAGTAAAAGTTACAGAGAAACAACATTTCAAAGAGAAGTAAACCATGAATTTGAAATCGTAGAGAAGAAAATATCTGAAGATTGAGATACTATCAAATTTATATGTATTGAATATGAAAGGCTTGTCATTTCACACAGAGAGCAATCTGGTTAACTTTTGCTAACAAAACCATTTCTATATTACTGTAGTTATTCCA